ATTTTCTATTAAGTCCAGTACAAGATCTGCATCAGTGCTGCAGTCAAAGCTTCTGATGACCAATCCAGCCTTAATTCCCACTTCACCCCTTCAAGCCAGTGTAGCAGCCAAATTGAACTATTTGGGTTTTCCTTTGTCTGATTTACACCTGTGAATCTTATCTTGGGTAATGGTCTAATTCCTGGAATTGATTGCCTTTCCCTCCTTATGCATTCAGTTCTCTCCCTCTCTGGTTCAATTCCTTATCTTCCTTTAAGTCCCAGGTAAAGTTTACTTCCTCCATTAGCACTTAACATTATCTCTAGTGCTCTCCCCTCACCATTCCTTTCTACTAGCTCCTGTCTCCAGATCAAAAATCATCTCTTCTTCCACTGAATTCCCAAAGTATATCTCTACTGTGTAAGTACCACTTTCTGCCTTATACTGCAGGTATGTTGTTAAAGCATAACCTGCCTATTTCCCTGAAGACACTAACAGTTTTAAAGGGCAAAGATTAAAGTCTTGTTCATTTTCACCTCCTCCATGTGTCTCATAATATTTAAGCTTCATTGATGGTTTCTACTAATAAACTGTGTAACTGTGAGTGAGTCATTTAATCTGTTGAAGTCTGTTGACAAATCAAAATCATGTTCTAATTCAATAGTCTTAATTTGAGATCGTTTAAATTATATATTCCTGGGAGACTGCATAAGAAGGTATGAAAGCATAGATCAAAATAAAGATTTCTGCATAGTTGCTCTGAAATCTGATTTCAGCAATAAATCTTGCAATTTTTCTGACTTATTTGGGTTAGTACAGAGGGAAATGACTATACCATTTCTGCTATCACTGCTATATCAAATAACTAACATAATTTACTCCTTAACTTTTAATTACTGTATTCTTCTTGTTGTTGTTATTGCTTTTGGAGGGAATGAGCCATTCAATCATCAATTTAATGAATATTTATTAAATATTCATTAGCAAGGCATTTTTCCAGGTGATGGCCTCTCAGAAAGGGGAAGTGGAGAAAAGCTTGTGTAACCAATAATTTTTTTTTTGTAACTATTGTATACAATCTCTCTCTTTCCCCCACCCCACCTCCCCCTTGCCTTATTAGTGGTTCATCCAGTTTTAGACCACTTATGCTATGGTAAGACTCAAAGCAAACTCTCCCATGGTTAATGTTTTTTAAAAGTTAAAAAAAAAAGGCCTATTTTAAAAATTTGTCCAGATAATATATTGGACAGAGTGCAAAGTGCTTCCATTTAATTCTTCTAAAGATAATACTCTGGAAACATTTTGGTGGATGTGAATCACTCAAACAAGCATTCTTCACTCAAAAATAGAAACTTGGCTTATTTGTTCCAGATGTTATACAGCTGCAGGGAAGTTAAAGTCAGTGGTCCTGTTTTTAATGCAACCAAACTCTTATTGCATTTGGAATTTCTTGACCAATGAACTCATATTACTTGTTGTAAGAACTGCACAAGTTTCTTTTTCCATTGTTACCATTCCTAAACAACTGCCTTTCATGGGAAACATGCTTCAGAAATAATGAGTCCACATCTGTGTTGTACAAAGTAAACACATCCTGTTTATCACTGTTTCCACCTTTCATTTATCTTGACCTCTTTAATTTTAACCATAAAGTATTTCAAAAAGCATACATTAAGGAGAAGAAAAGGAGAGCTGAATTGCTCTTATACCATTTTATAGCACTTTACTGGATTTATGAGATGTTCACCTTAGGAAGAATTTCAATTAAAATTGCTAAAAAACTATTGAACATAAAAATGTAATTCCTATCACTATGTATTTGTAGTTACTAATGTAACTACAGACACTCATTTTGCTTATTTCTTGGTTCTTCTGTAGGTCTATAAGAAATCTTATGTTGGATGCATGAAATACAAAAGATATTGGATTGTTGAAGAGGTGAATATGGTCCATAATAATTAAAATATGTAAGCGTTTTTCTACTTATGTTTGAGAATAGAATGATACATTTCTTGGACTATTGACTTTTTATGGAGATTTTTCTCAAATTGCAGTTCATAAACAACCTGCAGCAGAATCATACTGACTGCTTATTAAAATCTGTACTTCTGGTCCCAGTTGAGGCAGAATCTCTGAAAACTGGGCCTGGTGCTTTAAAGGAACTCTATATATCAGAAAGAAACAAAACAAACAAAAACAACAGCAGAAAAACCATGTATCTTCTAATTGTGACCACTAAAACCCAGGGAAGTTGAGTGAATTTATCGAGGTCATGCAGCCAATTAATAGTAAAGTCTAAAACTCTGTTTATTAATGCTGAGACCAACATTTCTTTTTTTCAGTCTACTACTGATTTTTGTTTTCCACAAGATAAAATTAAAATTTAAAGAAATAAATGTATCCAAATGTTGTTGGATGTCTCACCTAATAATTCTTATTCTTATCACTCATTAGCCAAATGCTTTTTCTTTCTTCAAGAGTTAGAAAATTTTTTCTTCAAATTTATCATAAATTCTAATAAAACTCTTCCATTAAAAAAGAGACAAATGTTATATGTCATGTTGAAATCTCATAGTTGACTATTTGGGAAGTAAGAGTTTTAGTTAAAAATTATTTGAACCATGTTTAAGCAACAGTTCACATTCAATAATGATTCCCCAAAGACCATAAAAGCTACAATTCATGGCATACATTCTTGAAATATGCCATTAGTTAAAATACAGCCCTAAAATAGTTTAAATATGATGTCACTCAAAATTGATTCAAATATTTCTTTTATGCATCTTAACAAGAGTGTTAATAATTTAAAATCTTTTCTTATTTATATAGTTTAGACTTCTAAGGAAGTGAAATGAAGTACTGGATCAGAGTTTTAGGGCCATATTTATTATGAATCAATGAATACCAGAGTAGTTTATCAACTCTACTTCTTCATAATGGTTCCTCTTTACTTCTCAACAAACTGACACAAGAACAGAAAGCCAAACACCGCATGTTCTCATTCATAGGTGGGCGTTGAACAACAAGAATACGGGGACTCAGGGAGAGGAGCATCACACACTGGGGGCAGTTGGTGGTGGGTAGGTGAGAGACAGCAGGGGTTGGGGAGGGAGGGGAGGGGAGGGAGGGATAACACGGGGAGACATGCCGGATATAGTATGCACCTAAAGTAAAAGAAATAAATTTAAACAACAACAACAACAACAAAACCAAAATGAGATCAGTTGGGGCAAAGTACCGAAAACTTAATAAATAGCATTTCACTAATGAGAAGCCTCAGATCAAAAAAGAGCATTACTATTTCAAAAGCAATAGCATTGTGTTAGAATTTGCCAGTTGTCTCCTTAAACTCTTTTCCCTGTCTCAGAATACCTGTTTTTAGCTGGGTGCATGCCACTTGAATTAAGATTGTATTTCCCAGCTTTGCATGTGGTTAATCATCTCCATAAGACTAACTTCTTATAATGGAACATAAGTGAACATTTGTGTGGTAGCCTTTTGAAAACTTTCTTTAAAGGCAGCAGGGGAATATTCTTTGTACCCTCTCACCCTCATCCATGCATTACGTTTTGAATGTGGTTGTTTTGGCTGGAGATCCATCTTGGCCCAGGAAAATGAGGGCCACCCTGGCCCAGATGACTGCAGAGCTGTCATATCAACCTTGGATTGTCACTATCTAGACTTACATATGGAAGAGAAAGCAGCTTCTACCCTGCTTAAGTTACTATGTCAGCATTTCTGATATTTGTAGCTAAATCTCATTTCAGGTAATCATTTATTTCTTGCTACAGAATTTTGTTCATTAATCCTTCAAACACATGGCCACTTAGCACTTTTTATGTGCAAGGAGCTGTACTAAGTGGAGATGATATATAGACGGGATTTTTTACTTTGGTTTTCTAAAAACTTTTGGAAAAGTTATTATAACCTGACTCCTCCCGTCTTTGCCTATATTCCATATGTATCACATCATTTTTATTTATTTTACTATGAAGGAATGTTTTTCGTGCATTTGGGTTTTAGAGTGATGCTGTCATGTGAATAATAGTTTTCAAAATTATAAAACAACAACAAAATGAAACCTACTGATACAACTCAAACACGTAATGACTTCAAGCAAAGTTTCAACTTTCATCCCTAGACTTATGACAAATTGTAAGAAAAAGTCATGATCCAAATGCAGTCTTTGAAAATATGCAAGATGTAAATATTTTTCTTTGAACAAATTCAAAATATCATGAGACATGTCTTTAAAATATTTCAGTAAAAGTGTTTTCCAAATTAACACAAATATATTACGAACTATCCCATTTTTAGTGTTAGTCACATACACAGAGGGGTATTAGAATTCTGAGTACAAATGTAAGGTAAGAGTCTCCCTTTTCTAACTAACAGCAAAAAGCAGCTGGATATCTCCAGGATCAGGGGAAGCATATGCGTGGCCCACTGACTCCTTGGTGCAATGCAAATATTAAGAAGTGTTTCCAGTGTGTGATGCTCCCCACCCTGTGTCCATGTGTTCTCATTGTTCAGCACCCACCTATGAGTGAGAATATGCGGTGTTTGATTTTCTGTTCTTGTGTCAGTTTCCTGAGAACACTGGGCTTTGTGGTGGGGGCGGTATAGAGGAGGGACTGTGGGGGGTGGGGAGTTGGGGAAGGATAACATGGGGAGAAACGCCAGATATAGGTGATGGGGAGGAAGGCAGCAAATCACACTGCCACGTATGTACCTATGCAACAATCTTGTATGTTCTTCACATGTACCCCCAAATCTAAAATGCAATAAAATAGATATTTAAAAAAGAAGTGTTTCCACTTGTGAGTTCTTTTATTAATTTCTAATAATTTATGAAGCATTAGAGTGTTTTTTTTTAAAGGTAGTATATGCTCTAAGTTTCAAAATGTTTTTTCCTTTCTAAAGTTAACAACTTAAGAGTGTCAAATACTTAATAGATTTTTGAATAATGGCAGAAATACAATAACATGTTAAGAGATATCTAACTGTAAAAGCAGAGTTACCTTTGGGTCCACATTGAGAATTTTTCTGTCTCTTTTGAATTTGAAAAGTAAGCCTTCTGGATTATCGGCAATCACTTGATAGTTGGGACTTGAGTTACAAACAGCAATATTAGTGTCCCAGTTGTAAAAGCTATAAAAATAAACATTTATTAGAAATTAAGTTGTATAATGCATTAAATTGACAAATATAGTTTCAGAACGATTTGGGGAAGTTCGGTCATAAGATAAGTGAATAAGACATGCTATACACAGATTAAAATACTTGCACAAGAGATTAGATTGGGTTATTCTCAAATTATTTAGACACATGTTTACGATGGTTTTGCATGATTTTCTGAACACTTCTGAGGCCTACGTCCTATTACAGCATTATTACATTCCCAGGAAGTCCAAATGAAAATTGATGCAATGTAAGGCTGTTTGTTCGAGTGCAGGTTCTTCAGGGTGTTAACAGACTGTTTACTGGATGGGAGGGTATACTAAATCACCTCTTTTCATTCAAAACAATTCCAAATAAATTCATTTATTTCAGCCTCCAGTTTTTTTTTTTTTTTCAATAATATGTTTCCCAGGGGGTGAGGAAATTATTTACGTTTGAGTGTTACCGTGGGCCAAACATGATATGACCTCTGCTATCACAACACCCATATGAAGTTGCTCTCATTTTATGGACAAAGCAAAGAGACTACGGGATGTCAACTAGCATCATTAAAGTCTTGAAATTAACATGTCACAGGGCTAATATTTCAATCAAAATTTGTGTGTTTCAAAGCACATATATGCACTTTCTATTTTTCAGCTTTGCCTTCTAGCATTTTATTTATTTATTTTGAGACTGAGTCTCACTCTGTTGCCAGGCTGGAGTGCAGCGGCGTGATCTTGGCTCACTGCAACCTCTGCTTCCTGGGTTCAAGCAATTCTCCTTCCTCAGCCTCCCAAGTAGCTGGGACTGCAGGAATCTGCCACCATGCCCAGCTAATTTTTGTATTTTTAGTAGATATGGGGTTTCACCACATTGGCCAAGATGGTCTCGATCTCTTGACTTCGTGTTCCGCCCACCTTGGCCTCCCGAAGTGCTGGGATTACAGGTGTGATCCACTGCCCTGGCACATTTTATTTTATTTTTCTATCTTATATGGAAACTTACTGTTTTTTTCTACATCCTGTTTTGTACTTACTTGTCAGAATGAATGTAATACTGTCATATGAGTTGAAAGAATCCTCAATATACTTATTTTTATGTGTCTTATTCCTACTAATACATTTCTAACACTATATTTGCTTTTAAAATAACTGTCACAGAAATAACATAAACCAGGGTGTCTCTCAAATATTTATAATATTTATTTTTAATGATAATCTTTCAATCCTATTTCTAGGTTGTTTTGCCCTCTATTATTCCCTTTCTTTTTTGGAAAGAGTGAATTTCATTGATTGAACTCACTGAATTGTATTGTTTCCTGAGGCATCATTATTACTACTTTCATATTATTACCTAAAAGTGCAATGTTTACTCTCAAATTTTTAAATACTTGGAAAGAATTGATTGTATAGATCACATATTTATGTTACTGGGAGGGAGCAAATCAGTGAGAACAATTTTCTACCCCTACTACATTTTCTATGGCCAAGACATAGAATGTTAGAATGTCTGTCCTATTGAGTCACAGAGTACAAAAAGTAATTTTCCAACCATCTTTGCCTGTTTATCAATTCACCCTAAGAAAACAGGAATGACTATGTGATTTGTGAACCAAGAAAAAGTGTTGTGCATTCATGGCCTTTTAGACCCTCAACTTAATAAGCATTCACAAGTGAGATTTATGATGGTAGGCTCAGCCCCCAGTGGAGTGATGGCACAGGATGAGTCTGTATTACTGCCAGTCCATTCAATGGTGAAGGCATTAGGAGTCAATTTGACTATATACGCAAGGTGGATTTTCCAATTTACTTTAATTCACAGTAAAAAACATCATTTGATATCCATACTGTTGACAGTTCACTTAGAATATTGCCCAATTGAAGTGGGGGACATGGGTGTGATTTTCAACTTTACATATGTTTCTCCCTCAATAATTATTTATGAGAGATATAGATACAGATAATTCTACCAAAATATTTGAGTCGGAGATATGCTGAGAGTGGCATGGTTTATATCACACATTCCTATCTTGTTGCATAGACCCCAAATTAAAAGTCTCATTATTGAAGTCCAGGAAGATTTTATATAAATACAAATTTACTTTCTCATGTAGAAAGCATTTATATAAAATATTATGGTTCTTTTGATGAAGATATTTTTCTTGTTTCATCAATACTTTTGCTCTCCCAAGCAGAGATGGAAAACAAGCTTTATTTCACATGCCAATTATAGTAGCTGGTAATTATTAATATTTAATAAAAATAAATAACAATTATCTAATAATGGTCATGTGCTAGGTTCTGTTTTATGTCCAATGAATTAATCATCTGGTGTAAAATATCCATTTTATCCATGCAGAAGTGACAGGGAAATGACATCACTTGGATTCCAATTAAAGACTTACTCCAGAGCCTGCACTGACTAATACATGTACTCTTTGTCCCACATACTACTGGTGGTGACTACACTACCTGAAGCTCTGTAGCATATATGACTGCTGATCAAAATACAAATTTTCAACTTTTTCTTAGTAGAACTCTAGACTACAACTATGGTACCTCTTGCAGGGTAGCCATGTAATAGAAATTGAGTCACTGTAAAAAGGGCAAAAGTGCTATTTACCACTACTAGCCTGGGCCCATCAAAACCTTCCATGTTATTTTTCCCATCCAGTTAGCTGGAATGGAGATGATAAATTTGAAAGCCGTTGATATGATTTGGATCTGTGTCCCTTCCCAAATTTCATGTTGAATTGTAATCCCCAGTGTTGGAAGTGGGGCCTGGAAGGAGGTTACATGGAGGCACATTTCCTTCCTAGTACTGTCCTCACAATAGTGATTGAGTTCTTGTGAGATCTGGTTATTTAAAAGTGTGTAAACCTCTCCCATTTTTTTCTTCCTGCTCTAGCCATGTGAAGTGCCTTCCACTTTGTTCCCTCTTTGCCTTATGCCATGACTGAAAGCTCCCTGAGGCTTCTCCAAAAGTAGATGCTACCGTGCTTCCTGGCATGCTTCCTGCCATGTTTCTGGCATGGAGGCATCTGCTTTTGAAGAGGCCTCAGGGAGTTTTCAATGCTTCCTGTGTGGCCTGTGGAACCGTGAACCAATTAAACCTGTTTTCTTTAAAAAATACCCAGTCTCAGATGTCTCTTTATAGCAGTGCAGGAACAAACAAATACAGCTGTATGTGAAAGATATTTGGACTTTGGAGAAACATAAGAACAAAAGAGTTGAGCTAATTTAGAAAGTTCCTATTTAATGGTTTCCTATGACATCTAGGCTGCTTTAAATTCTTGAAATTTTTCATTAAACAAACATTTAACTAGTACCCAGTATGTTCCAGTTAGGTGTTATGATTAGGGTTTCTATGAAGTAAACATGTTCTTGGGAAACTGGTCTAGCACAGTGTTCCTTAAACTGATATCCATGGCAAATTTCTGGGAATGTGAACTCTCTGAGCAGTTTAATATATGTAAAATATAAATATAGTCAGTCCCTTGTATTCCACATCTATGGAATACAAACCTTGTATTCAAAATATTTGGGAAAAAATGTGTCTTTATTGAACATATGCACACTTTTTTTTCTTGTCATCATTTCCTAAACAATACAGTGTAACAACTATTTATACTACATTTACATATAATTTTATATCAAGGACTTGAGTATTCGTGGATTTTGGTATCTATGGGAGGTCCTGGAACCAATCCTCCATAGACACAAATGGAAAACTGGACATTCTGAATTATCTAGATGACCATTTTATGACTCATTACACAAGTATATAATCTCAGTACCTATCTGTGTGCTTATATTTACCATTGTCCTCATGCCAAATTAAAATAATTGAATGAGGCCTTTAACTGATTAGAGCACAGTAGTATGAGGCTGAGTAATTTTTATATATATTTACATGGTCTAACTTTTTAGAACAGAGATATATTAGTATTTAAAGGGAATTTGTACAAACAAAAATAAAGTAAAAAACTTACGAAGATCAAAATAACAGAATAGGAGACTCCAGCCCTCACACCCCCACAGCAACATCGATTTTAAAAATGATCTAGGAATTGCATAGTGGAGAGATTCTAGAACCCTGTTCAAGGAAAAAAATGATTGAGGATAAACACACTAAGTGGGTAAGAACAGTTACACTTTATCCACATCACTCTCTTCTACGGCAGCATAGTCTATGTACGGCTAAGGGAGATCCCCCAGGCCCATGATTTCTCCCATAGGGGAAAGTGAGAGCTGAGTGAGGACCTAGCTTCCCCAATTTTATGGAATGGTAACCAAGAGGCTTAAATTGGTCTTCCTGTTATCAGATTTCTGAGGTGACTGGCATGACTAAATAATCTTGGGGGGAACAGGAGCACGGAGGAAGGGATGAGACTTAAAAGCAACACTGTGCAGATCTCAAAATATGGCCATATATCCTACTACGTGGCTTAGGAACTACACAAGAGGCCGACCTGTGAGCTCTATGGAAAAACGTCACTGGCAGTGTCCCCTACTGGCTAATATGCACCTTCTTCATTCTACATGCACTCCTGAGATGGTGTGAGCAAATCCTCATACAGAGTGCATGTATATCAGCAGCTAGCTCAGTGCTGCAGGACTGGGAAAAGGCACACAAGACTAAATATGTCAGAGCATTGCCATATGAAAAATAAAGAGGCTTTCAACACCTGGCCTGCCTTAACAGGATCAAGAGAAAGCATACAATCCCAGGACTTACTCATAGGAGGATAAAAGAGAAGTGGGGTGGGCATACCCATAAAAAAGCCTGAGAGATGCTCAAAATCTCTAGGTAAGCTGACTTGTGAAGGTCTCCATTGAAAACAGATAGTAAAGACTTGAAAATGGGACTGCTTTTTCAACACAAAACTTTAAAAATATGAAGAATCAAAGAAACATGACACCACCAAAGGAACAAAATAAAGTTCATGTGGCTGACATAAAAGAAATATTTACAAGTTGTGTGACAAA